TGTACTGCATCACATACTAAATGATTTCATGAATATATACTCAAAATTAAGATTTATCTATCTAGTGTCTGTCAATAAAAAATATATCAACCTGTACCACAGATTGCTACATTTTGGCAACAGATTTTATTTTATCTTAAAATAAACTGTGACTTGAATTAACAGGATCCTCATGTTCACAAGTTGGTAACAAAGCATCCAGTTCATAACTCATGAACATATGAGATAGATGAATTCTGATTTTTTTTTTTTTGCTTGCTGATCATTGTGGCAAGTGTCATTTGCATAATTGAGAGCATATTTTATTCTGACCTTTTCAAAAGCTCTTATTTCCCAAATGTGATGGGTACCGAATTGCTTTTTCTGTACTACTAACTATCATTTCCTATGGGATGGTACCAATTATGTTGGAAGAAAAGACTTGGATCTGATACGTAATCAGATACGGAGCACATTTATGACCATTCATCCTTGAATTTAAATATAAAAAACAGTGTATTATTTCTAATAATGAACAGACATCTGTCTAACATTTCATAAGAAGACGTGTTTGTGCAACCGAATGAGCATTTGAGTAATTTTAAAATCTGTAATAAACTTTTCCTGAAAAACAGATGTCAACTATTGATAGACACTTGGCCAGAAATGTTCCCAGATAGGTAGCGTTGCAATCTTGGGGAGAGCAAAATATTGCAGTGTATGGTAAACAGTGCCCAAGCATATGATGCTTAAGCACTATCAGTGAAAAGATGGCCTTATCGGAATGTATTTCTATTTTCCTAGAAAGATCTGAGAATAGTGGAAGTGAATTTGTGTACAGACTGTGACTGGGTTCATATATTGACCCATCGCTCATTTATACATCATACTGAATAATCCAGACTTGACTCATTATCATATACCATACTAAGCTAAATTAAAACAAATGGCACTGGTCTTTATGTATGTGACTCAAGTTTCCTTCCTACAAATTATGTTGGACGTTCCAGAAAGGACTGTCTAAATGAAAGTCATGAAATGGCTTTTATATTTCTCTTTCTCTGATTATGTAGGAATGAAGAAAAAAATAGGACCAATTTCTAAAGTTCTCAAAACTACCATTGAACTGTGAAAGAGTGAAGCTATCATGCTCAGCTCTGAAGTCCAAATTGCACAGCCAGAGCCAGAGTTTACTACAGACAAAAATACCTGAATCCAGTCCAGACAAAGATGTGGCTTAGAAGGCGGTCTGTATTTTGTGTCAGATGGTGAGGTGATCTAAGTTTACACAAGCTCTCTTCTCTTAATAAACACAGAAAGAGGATTGCCATCTTGAGACATGACGTGACATGACATTTCAGCGGGTATCTATATTAGTTCAAGTGAATTAACATTTCTTGGTCCAGCTGGACTCTGCAAGCTCTTAAAATCTAAAAGTCATCAGATAGGAAATAACTGAGAAATGCAAAGTAAGAGTAGAATCCATGCACCAAAAAAATGCACATAACGTTTTTATACCTCAAAACACATTTGCAAGATGCCCCATCTTCCTGTCTTAATTTTAAGTAAGGTACCTACCTCCCTTGATTGCTGGGAAGCACTCTGGACCAAATAAGGTAATGCTTTCTTTTTTTGCTTTGGGCTTTTGAATTTTTTATTTCTTCTGATCAACCCACTTGCATTCCTTTTTCCTCTCTTTTATGGAAGATTCAGGACAAAGTGTGTGTGTGTGTGTGTGTGTGTGTGTGTGTGTGTGTGTGTGTGTCTTCTGATCAACCCACTTGCATTCCTTTTTCCTCTCTTTTATGGAAGGTTCAGGACAGTGTGTGTGTGTGTGTGATATCCCAAATAGGATTCCAGTAGAATTCAAGTTTTAACAGTGTTTACTGTGTTTACTACTATTGCTTTGTACATTTATGGAAAACAAAGGTTTTCCAAAAATTGGAACTGACTGTTAAGAAATAGAACAATTTTGGGAAGGACAATATACCATTTTATAACAATCCCATTGAAAAAAGTTCTTTATGGTTACTGCTTTGAAATTAAAAAATAAAGACAAGATTTATTTTACTTTCTAGGTTCATTTGATCTCCTGCTTTTCAAACCACTGTATAAGAGTGATGGATGTTTTGTTCCCTTTTCTTCCAACCACAATTTGATTCCTGTTATATCTGCTTCTTGATTATATCGGCATCTTCTATATTTTTACTGTACCAATTCAATTTAATTCTTCACAAGTATTTGTTTTATCTCTGCAATGAAATATATTCAACCACCCTTATGTGATAATTTGTGGTCTCTTTACTTACACGAATCAAAATTCCTTAGCTAAATAAAAAGAAATAAACAGCGCTGCAGAGAAAAGTGCCTGCGGTGCAGAGATTTCCCTGGTCAAATAAATAATCATCTTTAGCCCTGTACTCCATGACCTCAGTCCGTGGCACAAAAACTGGCGGCAGATGGATGAACAAAGTCTGCATTTGAAACACTATGCTGGTGTTCTAAATAATGGTGAAACTGAGACAAAGAGATTGGAAAAGCTAGGGAAAGAAACTCAGATTTGATTTCATTATAATTCAAACTTAAATCAAAGTAAATTAAGTAAAAATTGCAAGCCAGGTTCATCTGACCTAAAGGTTAGGAATAAAGGGAAAAGAAAGCAAAGTACTAATTTGATCAGTTTTGTACCCAAAAAGCAGCAACACACAAAAGGATATTGGTTTAATTCTCCTATTTCAATGCAGTCAACTAGGAGGGCTGTAACTGCAGAGCACTGAGGTTTATAAGGCTGAGGGGAGGAAGTAAAATTGATAGGGATTAGGGGGAAAGAAGGACTTTGCAGATTTGTTTATAGCTCCCTTTATCTTTTCCTCTCAAATCAAGCATTAATCCATCTGTATAGTGACTCTTTCTTTCAGTGATTGTCCATCTTGTGATACTCTATGATCCCCATAAAAGCTAACCTCTCTGCCTTTCTGTCATCCACCACTTCTCTGAACTCGTGTTACTGTTCATTTCAGTCAAAGACTATGCTCATATTCTACCACTGACTGATCAATTTCTATAAAAGACACTGCACCCATTGAATACCTTCTATTTATCATGGTGAGACACAGAAACATACTTAACCATTTATTATTGTGCCTTGCATGGAATAATGCCATCTAAGGTAACGCTGCCTATTTGGAACAGAACAAAAAATCCAGTCTTTATGACCTCACGCTGATGCTGCCTGTTTGGAAGAGAAAGACTGGCCCTTGAGATTCTGACACAGATACTGAACATCTGTTCTCACCTGTAATCTCACACTGAAATTGTCTAAAAGAGAAGACTGGGCAGGGGGTTCTCATGTTGATGGTACCTATCCGACTCCATTTCTACATGCTTTTTTTAATGAGGAAGTTGGTCTTTGCAACCTTGGAGGAATAAGAATTCACGCTCTTAAAATGTCCCAAATGTTTTCCCAAAAAAGTTTCTTTTTTCCAAGAGAAACTGGACTTTCTTGGTTTTTTTCCTTTGAAAATATTTTGCTTCTCATACAAGAAACTTCTTCAGTTAACTTCAGAAATGTTTTCAAAGGAAAAAACCAAGAAAGTCCTGTTGTCTTTTGGAAAAAGCACTTTTAGGACAACTATGACCTGGATTTAATTTAATTTAATTTAATATTTAAATTTATATACCGCCCTTCTCCCGAAGGACTCAGGGCGGTGAACAGCCAGAAGTAAAAAACATCAAATACAAAATTTAAAAACAATTTAAAAATAAATTAAACATTTTGGCCCAACAGTTAAAATCCCCCATTAAAAATCCAAATTAAAATACACAATTGGAGAGATTAGGCCAGCCCGACTTGATGAAATAAAAAGGTTTTGAGGGCCCGACGGAAAGTACGTAAGTCCGGAATTGTCCATATCTCCAGGGGAGCTCGTTCCAGAGGGCAGGTGCTCCCACAGAGAAAGCTCTCCCCCTGGGGGCCACCAGTCGGCATTGTTTGGCCGAGGGCACCCGGAGGAGCCCCTCTCTGTGGGAGCGTACTGGCCGGTGGGAGGCTCTCGGTGGCAGAAGGCGGTCCCGTAAATATCCAGGCCCTAAACCATGGAGCGCTCGAAAGGTGGTCACCAACACCTTGAATCGCACCCGGAGGACCACCGGGAGCCAGTGCAGCTCACGCAGGAGAGGTGTTACATGGGAGCGCCATGACGCTCCCATAATCACCCACGCGGCTGCATTCTGGACCAATTGGAGCCTCCGAGTGCTCTTCAAGGGGAGCCCCATGTAGAGAGCATGCAGTAGTCCAGGCGGGAAGTGACGAGGGCATGAGTGACCGTGCATAAGGAGTCCCGATCCAGAAAGGGACGCAACTGGCGAATCAGGTGAACCTGATAAAAAGCCCCCCTGGCCACAGCCATCACATGTTCTTCTAAAGACAGCCGTGCATCCAGGAGGACACCCAAGTTGTGAGCCCTCTCTGTGGGGGTCAACGACTCGCCCCCAATAGTCAGAGATGGCACCAACTGACTATATCGGGATGCCGGAAGCCACAGCCACTCGGTCTTGGATGAGTTGAGCTTGAGCCTGTTTCTCCCCATCCAGATCCGTACAGCCTCCAGACACCGGGATATCATGTCAAGGGCATCATTGGGGTGGTCTGGGGTGGAGATGTACAGCTGAGTGTCATGATTGAGAATCTCCCTAACACTTTCTTAACAACTTTCCCATTCTTTCAATATAATTAGTGAAGCAGTTTCACTAATCCTTTTTAAAATAAAAGACAATTTAACTCAAATATATGAAACTTTTATTGAATTGAGGGCCACAACTACCTTTTAATGGCTTTTCTAGGACCATATTGCCAAAACCTCATTAAAAAAATATAATTTGGCAAGAATGAAAATTGAATGAAATTAAATTAATTAAAAATAATAATAGGAATGGTTAATTAACTATTTAAAACTTAAACAGGAGTTAAGTTTATTGATTTGTTAATAAGAAGGTTGTTTACAAAATGGACATTGACTCACCTGAACGTCCCTTTTCAGCTCGCTGCGATGATAATCCACATGGGTATTCACTTGTTCTTATCTTGATAGACTGGGTGTTCAAATTTATTTCCGTTGGTCTGGCCACGCCCCTTGCTTCAGTCTTTTCACGAAGTCGAATGCAAGAAGCTCACCTAACAGACATCCGGAATAATGAACCTCGTCCATGGGATAGCCCATGACGTTTACACCTCCTGAACTCTGTAGAAAAAAAGAACACAAACAATCACCCCAGCCCCGGAGCAGACAGGCCATAGGGAGGGTTGGATTGTCGTTGCAGCGAGCTGAAAAGGGACGTTCAGGTGAGTCAAAGTCCATTTTCCAGCTTTGCTGCTTCGACAATCCACATGGGATATACCCAAGCTTATAGACCCTGGGCGGGGGCTGGATTGCTCCCCAAGGCCTGGGCAGAAATTACACGTTGTAAAACACGTCTCCCAAATGAAGCCTGAGCCGAGGTGTAAATATCTAATTTGTAGTGCCTTACAAAGGAAGTTAAAGATGACCAAGAAGCTGCCCTGCATATATCCTCTACTGATGCTTGGGTAGCCCAAGCTGCCGATCTAGCTGCACTTCGAGTAGAATGCGGCAAAATCTTTCCTGGCAAGGGTTTGGCTGCCAGTTCATATGCTTTAGAAATACACGCTCTGAGCCACCTGCCCACTGTAGTTGAAGATATCTTTTGTCCCACAGATGATGGGTGAAATGATACTAATAACACCTCTGTTCATCGGAAGGCTGCCGTTCTTGTGATGTAGCGTCCGAGTGCTCTATGTACATCCAACGTATGCCACCTCGCTTCGACTGGATTGCGAGGATCCGGGCAAAAGTCCAGCAAGATGAGCTCTTGAGCACGGTGAAAGTACGAGTTGATTTTAGGCATAAATGCCGGATCCAAACGTAGAACTACATGAGTATTATGAAAAATGCAAAGGTCACTTCAAATGGAGAGAGCTGAAAGCTCAGACACTCGGCGCACAGATGTCACTGCCAGTAGAAACACAAGTTTTAATGATAAGTATTTAAGACTAATGGATCCGATAGGTTCAAATGGAGTTGTAGTTAACGCCTGGAGCACCAACGTGAGATCCCATGTTGGATAATGATGTACAATGGGTGGCCTAATATTAGTAGCACCTCGGAGAAAGGACCGAATCCGCGGATGATGTGACAATAATCCATAGGTCTCACAGGCAATTACAGTAGATAATGCTGCCACCTGGCGACGGAGTGTGGAGGGCGCTAAACCTTTGTCTAGTCCAGCTTGTAGGAAGTTGAGCACATCTAAGATGAATGCTGATGTTGGATCAATATGAGAACTGGAGCATCATTGGCAAAATTTACGCCACGAAGCGTTGTAAATTCGGGTTGTAGAAGGTCTTCTGGAGGCCTGCATGGTATCGATAACTTTCCCTGAAACATTATCCCTCCTTAGAAGGACTCTCTCAAATGCCACACGGTCAACCCGAACCATTCGGGGTCTGGATGACATATGACCCCTTGGCTGAGAGAGACCTTCTCCGGAGGGATCTTCCAAGGACGTGAGACTGATAGATTGATTAGATCTGCGAACCATGGCTGCCTCGGCCAGTAAGGTGCTACTAGAAGAAGTTCTGCATTCTCGGAGCACAGTTTTCGAAGAACCTGTGGTATGAGAGGAATTGGCGGATATGCATACAGAAGGCCTCGTGGCCAAGTGCAACGAAGGGCGTCGCATTCTTCTGCTCCTGGAGATGGAAATCTTGACAGGAATCTTGGTAGTTGTGCATTTTCTGGGCAAGCGAACAGATCGATCACTGGTTTTCCAAATATCAGAGACATTTCTAGAAACAGCTGAGGATGGAGTCTCCACTCGGATGGGTTGAGATGGCTCCTGCTCAACCAATCCGCTTGACGATTCGATGCCCCCGAAATGTGTTGTGCTGTCACAGAAAGAGTGTGTCGCTCTGCCCAGTTCATTAAGCATTCTGCTTCCTGCATAAGTTGTTTGGACAGGGTGCCCCCCTGACGGTTTATATGGGCCTTCGTAGCCATGTTGTCTGTTAGAATCAAGACATGACGACCCGATACCTAGGTTTGGAAGTGACGAAGTGCGAGTCTCACTGCCCGTAGTTCCACCAATTGATGCTTTTGCGACTTTCTGCCGAAGACCACTGACCTTGTGCCACCTGCGATAGGAGATGTGCGCCCCATCCATAAAGACTCGCATCGGTCCTTAGCGTGATGTGGTCAAGTTTCTGAAAGAAACACCGCTTTAGTAAGGCTGATGACGTCCACCATCGGAGAGACCGACGGACTTGAGATGGTATCTGCACCTTGAATAGAGAATTGCTGGTTCCCCTTCTCTGGAATGGTAACAGGAACCATTGTAATGGGCGAGAATGGTGACGAGCCCATGGCACAATCGATATATAATTTTTTTTTTAAATAATTTTTATTTTATTTATATACCGCCCATTCTCCTGAAGGACTCAGGGCGGTGTACAGCCAGAATTAAAATACAAATATACAAATATACAATATCATAGTTAAAATTAATTAAAATCATTAAATAGATATAGCAGAGATCATCTTCCCCAACAACTGGGAAAGGAGCAACAGCGGGACTGATCTTTGTGATAAGATCGATAACACCATCTCCTTTATACTCTGTTGTCGCTCTGGGGAAAGAAACACTTGGCCCTTCACCAACTCTATCACGGCTCCAAGGTGTACTATTCGAGTGGTTGGATGCAGGTGGCTCTTCTTTAGATTGATTGTGAACCCATGATGCTGAAAGGTATGAATCACCATGTCGGCATCCTTCACTGCCTGCGATTGATTGGATGACAGAATCAAAATGTCGTCCAGATAGCAAAGAATTTGAATTGGAACAAGGTGGACAGATGCTGCTACTGCTGCAATCAATTTTGTGAACGTCCGTGGTGCCAACAATAGACCGAACGGCATGGCCCAGTATTGGTAGTGGTGATTTGCATACACAAAGCGCAGAAATTTCCGATATCCTGGGTGAACTGAGACATGTAAATACGCCTCTTTTAAGTCCACCGACTATAGCAGGTCGCCCTGTCGAACTGATGCCAGAATTGATTTGAGCGATTGCATCCTGAATCGCCTGTACAATATAAATTGATTTAATGGTTTGAGATTTAATATCCCTCTCCAATCCCCCGAGCTTTTCGGAACTAGGAAGAGGATGGAGTAAAACCCCATTCCCTCCTCGCTCTGTGGTACCGGCTAGATCACTTTGATGTGTAAAAGATGCCAAATTTCGTCCTCCATAAGTTGTTTCTTTAGCTGGAGACAAGGAACCGGGCATTGAATATACCTGCTTGGGGGTTTGGAGATGAATTCCAGAGTTAGCCCGAACTGTACTGTTCGTCGAATCCAAGCATCCGCTGATTCGGAGTCCCTTGGTGGTAGAAATGTTGTAGACGGCCGCCAATTGGGGATTGTGGCTGGGAGTCATTTTCCACGGAGGAATGACCATTGTCCGGTACCCCGAAAGAATTTTTTGGACTGGGCCTGGCGTCTGCCACGGTCCCTGAATGTTGCATGGTCAGATTGCTGGTAAAATCCCTGGGGATAAGATCTTTGGTAATAGGACCCACCGGGTCCAGAGTTATAACGAAAGGGCTGACGGTATGAATAGGGTGCTGACCTGCGGTCTGGTCTTCGTTGGGAGGAAGAAAGGACTTTTTGTTTATCACGTCCCTCCATTAACGCTGGATCTAAAGCTTCTCCAAAAAGGTGTGACCCTTTATACAGAGCAGACACAAGTTTCCATTTGGACTTGTTATCAGCTTTCCAGTGACGAAGCCACAAAAGTCTGTGCATGGTTAGAGCAGAAGCTAAAGCCCTGGAAGCAAACTTCACCGCATCCAAAGATGCGTCCACCAAGTATTCATTGGCAGCCACCACCTTATTAATATCTTGATGTAAACATGCTGCCTCAGACGGTATGCGGCTCTGCAGTTGTCTGAGCCAAATAAGTGATGCTCTATTAAAAAACGAGGCAGAAGAGGCTGCCCTAATGGCCCAAGCGGCTGCTTGGTGAGCTTTTCTGAGAGATAACTCTGACTTCCGATCCTCCATCCTAAGGCCCTCCATGATGTCGTTAGACAAAATAGCCGAAGATGTAAGACTGGCAACCGGAGCATCTACTGCCGGTAATTGTAGTAGATTGTCCAGAGTAGGGCAGCACAATACATCCTTTTATCATGTGTGTTAGGACCAGCAAGGGATCCAGGTTGGGTCCACTGTTTTTGAATTACATCAGAAAACAAAGGTGGACAAGGTATACTTTCTTGTTCAGCCTTGGGTAATCTAAATAGTTGCCCATGAATATTAGAAGGGTCAAAATCGTGGGAAGAGGAAGATTCCTCCAAACCCATATTAGTAGCTAACTTAGCTTTGTGCAATAGCGATTTGAATATTGAAGGGCGAAATAAACCAACAAAGGCTGGTACATCATTCTCCATCCCTTCATCATCAGATAACTGCAAATGGTCATAAACCTCCTCATCTAGGGTAGAACCCTCTACGCCAGTAAGATCATGTTCAGAAGGATATGCAGTATAAGTATAATCTTGTATTAGCCTTTGATATGTAGAAGGAGGCTCAATAGACTGCAACTTAGTGCCCTGCTGAACAGTAACGGCCAAAATTTTTGAGATGCTTCTGAAATTACGGATTGAACATCCAAATTTTGGTTATGCTGCTGACCTTCACCTGCCCGAAGGCCTGCAGAGGTAGATGTGAAAGTAGCTTCTGGTAACTGGCGAACTACCCCAGAAGAACTGGGAGCACCCATACCCTGTGGCAAGGAAGATGTGGAGGGAACATCAAAGGTTGAGCCTCCAAACAGTTGCTGACCTGTGACTCCTTCTGCAGGAGTCAAAGCGGCCACTTCAGAATGTGCTGGAAAATTATCAGCTTGCCTTCTTACTTTATCAAATTGGCGCTCCAATGCCGTGTGGCGCCTTTCTGCATCTTTATCACCACCTTTGGTTTTACTAGAAGGCTTAGCCTTATCCTTAGCCGCTTTACTTTTAGAAGCTGTTTTAGCATTTTGAGCAGTTGAATGCTTCGTTTTGTGCACTATGGGAGGTGCAGGCTCACCCTCAATATCAGATGATAAAGCAGAATCTGCCATAACTATGGGCTGTAAATCGCAGTTGAAATTGAACAATTTTTTAAAAAAATTGTTAAGATTCAAGTTGCTAGTCCTGATCAAGGTTTTTTTTTTAAAAAAAAATAGCTGAATAAAGTCAAACTTTACAAAATAGTATCATTCATAAATCAAACCTGTCCTCCTGGAGTCTTGCAAATTGGCATCTGTGTGAAATTTCTGGTCCTCAAATGACACGAAGGAGAGACCAGCCAGACTTGTCAGCAGGAGGAATTAAAGGCACAGGAACCCAGTGCAGTGGGGACAGAGCCCTCAAAGCACTCCGCTTCGCCAGGCTCGGCATTAGTTCAAGTCCCTGAGCCTGTAGCCAGCAAGTAAGGCTTGTAAATTACATTTTTACAATGCAGCCGCCGCGACTGACAGTTGAGCTGTCAGATTCAAAAATGGCGGGCGCGAGCTGAAACTGCTCCTCAGCGCCACTGCAGCTCAACAAGGAGGCAAGAAATTTGGCACGAAGGCTTCAATTGCCCTCTCAGCGCCGCGAAGCTGGTTCCTGAAGAGGAGTGTGACCTGATTATTCAGGCAGTGACTCCGAAGCCGCTCACAACAATAGGGCTGCAGGGCAGAGCTGATTGATCCGGCAAGCTGGTAATCAGCCTCACACCAGCGGCAAACAAACACATGGAGGTGCCTCAGGAAGCAACCTCCAGCAAGCTGCGATTTTAATTTTACGGCGGTGGAAGCGGTCTGGAGCCCCAGACATGCTAAGAACACTGCCAGCAGCTGAGGGGAAGCTTCTTATTAATCCCCAATCCACAAACGTTGCGCAGCCCTACCGGAACCTTAAATTTAGTCCATAAAGCACTTTGACAGTTAAGAAAAAGTATAGACCAACAGAAATACTACAATAAAATCAGAGAAATCTCACACCAGTCTGTTTCATAAGACTGAGTGAAAAGACTGAAGCAGGGGGTGTGGCCAGACCAACGGAAATAAATTTGAACACCCAATCTATCAAGATAAGAACAAGTGAATACCCATGTGGATTGTCGGAGCAGCGAAGCTGGAAAATGGTGTAGACCATGCATAAATTAAGACCAAATGTTTCCATAAAATATAAAAATACTTTTAAAAGTGATACAATAAACATTTATTCCAAAAACAATCTCACCAATTAGAAACATGAAAAATTAACAAATAGCAATTATGTTGTGATGAGGATCTGTTCAGGGAGAAATAGTTCATATAAAAATACAAAGAGAGGTAAAACACATAGTGAAGGGAAGATTTTAAAGGAAAGACAAATGTAAAATTTAGGAAAGTGTGGCCTTCATAGGAAGCTTCTGATCATAGTTATAGAGTAGAAGTGAGTTGTATGGCAAGATGAAAGAGCCAAACCCACCAAGATGGTCTACCTAATTAAAACTAACTCATGGAATGTCCATGAGAACTTCCAAGTGTCAGGCAGAGACAAAGAGGTACAGTTCTATCTTGGAAGAAGGCATGAGTGCAGAAGAAAGAGAAATATGGTAAGTTTTGAGAAGAATTTCCATTAAATGTCATTTTTCACTTGTCAAAACAACCTGTTAAGTTTTATCACACCATATGTGTTTTTATCAAGGGGCTCGGAGAGGACCCAAAAATGTAACCAGAGGCCCATGAGCACCCTCAGTGCTTCCTCCAACACACCTAATTTTAAACCATATATTTATTGAGAGATTTTCTATTCCTTTATACTGAACCGTTTCCCAAATTTAAAATATATTTATGGGTGTATGTATGAAAAGAACTTGACAGAATTATTCGTATTTTATTGGCTCCTACTGGGACTAGCTGCATTTTAGAACTATTTTGGCTTGCAATTCATTTCTGTAAATAGGGGCAACAGCTGAAGAGCTAGCAGGAGTTATATTTACTACTATTTAGAGATGATTTTACTGTCTTCTGATAGTACCAATACCACAATAAAACAATTCAGGATATATACTATGTAAACAAAGATAAACTCTCTCTCCCACAGGAGTGGGGTGGAAATCATGTTAAACCTCATACATGAGGACATGACATAATGTAACAGTTATATCTTTCTGCTCTAAGAATGTGAAGATGGTAGACTTCATGTACTATTCCAAAGGCAGAAGCATAACGAACTAACTCAAGGAAGGCTGTATTGATTCTTATAGGAAGAAACAGCTTTGAAAACAACGAACTAAAATAAAACTGAAGAGATATTTATACATCATTGTGTATTTGTATTTGCATCGTAATGTCTAAGTAAGTTGTATTAATTACACTGTGACATCAATATGCATTTGTCATCATTTCCCCACCCTCACTTGACCACTACATATGCCTGTAAATCAGGGGTTTCCCAACCCCCAGTCTGTAGACCGACAGCAGTCCGTGACATGCCAGCAACCGGGCCATGCAAACAAGTGAAGCCCCATCTGTGGGATGCAGGCAGCACACGAAACCACACCCCCTCTGGTCCACAGAAAAACCTTTCTCCATGGAACTGGTCCCTAGTGCTCAAAAGATTGCTGTAAATAACACAATCCACCACAGGGTGGATTTGATTTAAATCACGTCGATTTAAATCATGATTTAAATCACTAGTAAAAAGGCTTGATTTAAATCAACTCAATTTAAATCATAATTTTTAAGGAGCAATTGTCATCTCTGTCCCGCAGCAGCTCCTCCTCTGACCTGCTGTTGACTCACCGACAGTCCCAATATTGCAGAATATACAGCCTCATGCTACATAACTAAGCTCCATTTCATGCTGAATAAACTAAATTATTAATATATCTTAAATATAAAATTATCTTTAGATATATTTTTACTCCAAACGCATTTTATTAAAATAAATTTGATAAAAATAAAAAAAAATCCAATTTAAATTAAAAAAATTCAATTTAAAATTTAAAAATCTGATTTTTTATTTTTTTTAAAAAAAGCATCAATTTTTATCCACCCTGACCCACCACTTTATCTTGTTTCATGATGAACATTTTAGCATTAGAAAAACAGCAAAATCAAAAAGGTTGTATTACACTACTGTACTCTGATAGGCTACAATCAAAATAAAGCTCATGCTAATCACACTAAATCCATATAAATGAATAATTACTGTAGCACTATACAAATCTTCCAGAATTTAATTCATTATTGACTTAATCCATTACTTTTGCAGCAAAAGGACAAGGAGACCTTAAAAGTTCCACATTTCTTTTGGGATTAAATGACCATGTTGACATAAAGAGTAAAGTATAGATATCTACCTTTATATCAAGGCCACATCTTCAAAACAGTTGCATATAAAGAACCGTTCCTCTCTACAAAACAAAACAAAACAAAACAAATTATTGAAATTGGCAGCATTTCAAAATAAATTAATGTCCAATAATAGATATTTCAAATAATGCTAATGGCACATCACAGTTAATGATACCAAGTAATAGCCAAAAGCATAATCCCAATTTTAATCGCTATAATAATTAAGCACATATTCACAGTCTTTCTAATTAATATTCTTAAGTTATTTAAATAATATGTCAATGATTTTAATTAATACTATACAAATATTATTACATAGAAATGATATAGTGCATTAAAATTTACCACAACATAATAAAGAGGAAAAATAATCTTTCTGTTCAAAAGAATTAGAGATTATCAAGTTTTTAGTACATTTTAGAACTAAAATCCAAATTTTGGATTTGGCATAAAGCACCAACAATTTGCATCATTCTCTGTAGATCTGAGAATCAAGAAATAAGGTTTAAATAGTTTCCTTTCAAAAAAAAAAGAAAGAAAGGAAAAAAAAGAGCTAATGGCAGAAGCAAATGAAAGCATAGCAAACCTTTATTGAGGCCAGAAGTCCAACAGTCAGATCAAAGATACAAGAAGTAAAAATGAAAAACTAGAAGGCTAAAATTAAAGCAATTTTTACAAGCTTTTGAATCCAAAATGAGGTGGATTGTGCAAATAAAGGTCTAGAATTAGACAACCAAGACATATGCAAACAATGGTCAGGTACGAGAAGCAATCAATAGAAGGCATGTTCTTTGTCTGGGAATTTCTTCACAATAGTATTGATCCTTATGGAGAGAGCAGCAAAAGAGTAAGTGCCTCAGAGATTCAACTCAGCCATTCACACAATGATATCTAGAGAGATGCGGAATATTTTTGTAGATGGCAGAAGACAATGCATCCAGCCTGCCAAAATGAAAGTCTGGCAAAATTCCAGAACTGCAGCAGGTTAGAAAAAATATGCTGGTATATACCCACTTGGAAAGACTACATGTGCAGTAAGGCTGAGAAAGAGAGGTTGATTGGTTTGAACATCAATTGATGTTCAATTGATGTTGTTTTGAAGATCAATTTGAGCATCAACCATCCCAAACAGAAACCTTAAGGATACTTTGGGCATTTTAAAAGCACGTGGAGAAAGGGTCTTCATTGAGAGTCCTAGAGATGGAAACTTGCCAATAACCTTTTTTTAATCAGATTGAGTTGATGTGAGGACCAGTGGAGCCAGATTCACTGGGGAAAAATGTTAATTCTAACTATACAGTAAAATGTTAATACCAAGCTCCATGGGGACTTCATATACTCTGGGGCTGCAAAAATAGCTCTATTTAGAGCGAATGGGTTCAAGGATGGCAAGATTTCTAAAAGTACAGACTTAGGTACTACAGTACAGAGACGCTGAGAGAAGATCTTGGCTACAAACACTTTACGAGCTGCAGAGGCAAAGTAGGAGTCTTTTGAACAGAAGACTGAGGAACTACACTGAGCAATATTTGCTGGATATAAAAATGTTCTCTCCATGATAGTGGAGCCTAAAATACCACTCCCAAGATATTTGTAAATGTGTACCGACTCAATATTATTCCCATTTGCCAACAATACATTTTATGATAATGTTGTACAAATATTTTTCTGATAATAGCAGTTTCTCTTGTGAACAGAAAGAAAGAAGGCTTGGATTAATTGAGTTGACATGTAAGTTAATAAATAGGAGGACTAGAATACACTCTTGCCACACATCAGGTAATAGTGTAGGGCCAACAACTTTTGCAGCACAGAGCCAAAAACTCCCCATGCCAAGCTAAAACATTACTGAGAAGTAGAGTGGCACCTCCCCACACTTGTGAATAGTTACATATGCTGGAAACTTAAAATGGGAGTGGGTTTCATTTTGGACACAATTCCCTTGTACGCTCCACTTTTAGCTGTGGACACCTCTTATGCCTCCCTCTGTTAAAAAAAGAGTAATTAGTTAGCTAGCAATATTAGGAGGATAGAATAATACCATGAGCTAAAAATAATAATTGCACAAAATTCTAAAGACAGGCTTGGAAGTAGCTTTCTCCATCGATATAGCTTTTCCAGTGAACAAGAATGGAAATTCTATGCCCCTCTCCCCACCATGTTGATTATAACCTGCACCAACTCAAATCCAGCTCCATCAATTGTGAGAAATGCTGCATTGCGTACCAACCAGAGGGCCAGAGAGAGTGGCATTTCAAATTTCCAGAAGCTAACACTTCAGTCCCACACTCATGCAGGATTAGTTTCACCGATCATGCTTCTGATTAAATGTGTCCAAGATCTACCTGTTCTTGTTTACATAATTATACTAAATACAATAGCTTGGAATGTGGTCACCAGTTTTTTGCCAATGTTCTAATGTAGGCACATTTATACTGCACAATATGAACATGACCCAATGCAAACTTCCATGAAGCTCATTATCTCAATGCACTTATTTTGGAAAGAAAGAGTTAAACACAATCACCAAAATGAATCATCAGTGTATGTCAGCGAGCCAATCATATAGTTTATCAGCCTCGGTTATGGTTAGGTCTGGAAGTCAAAAGCCACAGTGTCATTATACAATTGCACATCATAATAGATATACAGAACAGAAACAGATATACAGAACAAAAAAAGAGTAGCAACAACATGACTAAATAGGTCTAGAACATAACGGGATTCAACTAAAATGAATTAGGGTTGCTCATGACAGCTCTTTTTAAAATAAAAATAATAACAATATTTATTTCTGTTGCTAAGCAAGAGATTTGCTAAGTGAACTCTGCCCCATTTTGTGACCTTTCTTATCACAATTGTTAAGTGAACCACTGCGGTTGTTAAGTTAGTGACATGGTTGTTAAGTGAATCTGGCTTCTCCATTGAGTTTGCTTGTCAAAAGGTCATAAAAAGTGACCACATGACCCTGGGATACTGCAACCGTCATAAATATGAGTCAATTGCCAAGTGTCTGAATTTTGATCACATGACCATGGGGATGCTGCAAAAGTCATAAGTGTGAAAACCAGTCAAAGGTTACTTTTTTCAGTGTCATTGTAAGGTTTTTTTTATTAAAAAGTTTTATCAAGTATTACAACAATTTTTTCCCATCCCTCCTCCCCCCTTCCCTCCTCCACCCACCCCCCATCCCTCATCCCCCCTCTCCCTCCAACCCCCCTCTCCCCACCCACCCACCCCGGACTTCCCAGAGCAAATACAGGGTAGAACATTTAACAAACATAAACTAAAATATGCTAACTTTCTATAGGCTCCAAACTCCCTCTTGCTCTTTAACTCCCCTTTCAACTAACAAAACATAATTCAAAAAGAAAATTTTGGTTTCATTCATAGGCTATTTGAAACTTTTTAGTCCGATATTTGTTTTGAATATAGTTAATCCATCTTCTCCATTCCGATATATATCTTTCATTTGAATGGTCCTTCAAGTATGCCGAAATTTTTGCCATCTCTGCTAAGTTCACTACTTTTAATGTCCATTCTTCAATAGTTGGTAAGTCTTCCTTCTTCCAATACTGTGCCACCAAAAGTCTGGCTGCTGTTATTAAATTTAAAATCAATTTAGTCTCTATGACCGTACAATCTGTAATTATACCCAACAAAAAGAACTGTGGAATAAATTTTATCTTCTTTTTGAGAATGTTTTGGATAATCCACCATATTTTTTATCCAAAATGCCTTAATTTTTTTACATGTCCACCATATATGATAATACGTGGCATCATCACATTCACATCTCCAACACTTAGGTTGCACACTTGGATACATACAGGCTAGCTTTTTAGGATCTAGATGCCATCTATAAAACATTTTATAAAAATTCTCTCTTAAATTTTGGGCTTGCGTAAACTTCACATTTCTAACCCATATTTTTTCCCACATTTCCATCATTATTGGTTCTTCAATATTTTGTGCCCACTTTATCATATAGTCCTTAACTAATTCCGTTTCTGAATCTATTTCTACCAATGCATTATACAACCTTTTTATATGCATTTGACTTTGATCTCTAATTTGTTTTACCAAGTTCTCCTCATTTTGCGAGATACCAATTTTCTGATCTTCTCTCCATCTAGCTTGCAGCTGTCCATACTGAAACTGTTTGAATTATCCTTTCTTCTCTTAATTGATTCAAAGATTTTAGTTGTAGTATACCTCTTTCCTTGTTAAGAAGCTCTTTATATGTAGTCACATCTTGTTTTTGCTCTACACTTATATTCTCTATCATGTGTCTGGGTATTGCCCACATTGGTAACTTCTCGTTTAATTTGTACTGATACTTTTTCCAGACACGCAATAAAGCATTCCTTAATATGTGAGTTTTAAAAGTCTGATCCACATTCTTATCATATAATAAATAAGCATAAATAACCGTAAACCAAATCATATCCCTCAATATTCAATATTCTTTCTTCTGTTGAGCTCATCCAGTCACTCATTGCTAATAGGGCAGCTGCTTCATAATATAGTCTTAAATTGGGCATTTTGAGACCTCATCTTTCACATATATCCTGCATTATTTTTTGCTTTATTCTTGGTCTCTTCCCTGCCCAGACAAAATTATTAATACCCCTCTGCCATATATTCAAATTTTCATCTTTTTTAAGTATTGGTATCATTTGAAAAAGAAATAAAAACTTAGGCAAAGCATTCATTTTTACTGCAGCTATTCTTCCCAACAAAGATAATTGTAATTTTTTCCAATTTTCCATCTCTCTCTGTATTTTTTGCCACAACGGATCATAATTATGGTGAAATAATTTCGCATTTGATGTCAAAATGTAAACCCCTAAATACTTAAGTTTTTTAACTATTTCAAACCCTGTTATTCTTTCTAATTCTTCTTTTTGATTTGTAGTCATGTTTTTAGTTATTATCTTCGTTTTCCCTGCATTTATTTTAAATCCAGATACTTGTCCATATCGATTAATTATATCCATTAAACCTACAACCAACTGTAATGGTTGGGTTAAAGTAACAACCAAATCGTCTGCAAATG